TGGTAGGAGGGGCATCAATGAGCGCTGGGGGGGGGGGAGGCACGGCCCTCGAATGGCTTATTGTTTAATAAAACACTTCTAACAGCAATATGATAAAATAGGGATGCACTGATGTTACAATTCAAATTATGCGTAACAACCAACAAACAATTAGGGCGGGGTTCAAGCGCCTATTGTTATTGTTAATTTTCCCACACTCTAAACAACGCTGGGTTGTTTCAATCCAAATTTGGGTCAAATATGGACAAACCCAAATGTTGGGTTAAAAATGCAATTTAAAATTTTAACCCAACTTTCAACTGTAAATTTAAAACCCAACGTTTGGGTTTGTCCATATTTGACCCAAATTTGGGTTGAAACAACCCAGCATTGTTTAGAGTGCATGATGCAACATTGTCCATCTAAAACTGATTGGGCAAACCGAAGCACAAGTCGTAGAGACTTGAAACTTTGAATGCTGGTAGTACTCACACTGCCTACAACATCACTAAAGGCGCGCCCCGGACGGCCAGACGGGGGCGCTATAGCGGTCAAAAGTACAAAATGGCTCATTACATCTCAACCGTTAGACGTAGGCTCAAGTATCGTACATCATTGGAATCCTTGGCTCAAGGAGGACACGCCATTTTCGAGTAAAGTTTGACGTTTTCTGAAAAACCTACTTTTGCAAACTACTCGTAGGTTTGTTCGAAATTTCAATTCACGGTCGCTAAGGGGAACCATAATGTATTCGATGTGACCGGGGCCATTTTCACTAAAACAGCTATAACTTGTGAGCGGAAAGAGATATTTTCGCTATACTCGGGACATGTTTATAAGCTCAATCTGAGGTCACACGAAAAAAAAAGAAAAAGAAAAAAGCGCGACGATTGGCCACTTGGTGACGCTATAACAGGAAAAATAATAATGAAAATGGCTATATGCCATGCATGATAGCATTGGCGTATCTCCAAAAAACTCAGTATGCGTCATCGGCACAATGCCCTGAAGAAGCCTGAGAAGTTTCAGGCTTCTTCAGGGCAATAACTCACTGGGCAATAATCTAAGCAAGAACCATTGTTTGCACAATTTTAGAAATACAGTGTTTTGGCCCCCAGAACATTTGGTTGTATAAATATCTGAACATGCAATATATCAAAATATAATTTTTTAACACTTGAATATGGGTGTGACATGTATAGTCTGTCTCCTATGTTTCATGGTGCTTTTGGTTTAGTCCTGTGACCCAGTATTCCCTTATCTGTCTAAATACGTGTGTCCTGAGTTCCCTTTGTTTGATCTGTGTATTTAGGCTGCGTTCCAGTCCACGTTTAGACATGCACATGCGAACTTCCCTAGACACTTCCCCTCAAGGGAATCCGTGTCGCCACTTCATGAAGTGGACGAGGGAAGTTAATATGGACAGACCCTCGCTCCCTCGATTTCGAAGTCTACTTCATATGGACACTTCAGCCAGCTCCATATACCACAACGCAACACGATTGTTACCATGTAATCACAAACAACTCTATGATATATTAATTATTTTTTTTTAGTTAAAACAACACAATCCTATGTAGGGTCTGGACCCATCAGACACACACTAATTATTCATTATAAACAAAGGTTTATGAAACTCCAAAACCAACATCCCAAAGGAGCTGAACACCAGGGCTGAAACAGTGTCATGTTACAGGGCTGATACGGAGGTTTTACGAACACATTCCTTTGGAAGAGAGTGCATGTGCGAGAGAGAGACAATGGGAAGACAGGAGCCATCTTTAATAGAGACTGTGCTGCATTAATCATAGACTAAAGGGCCGTACACTCCGGGGCAAATATCGGCGTGCGTTATTCGCCAGCGTTTTTCAACATGTTTTTTTGTGTTCACACCCAAGCAACGATTTCCCTGACGATGAGGCGAGTGAACATGCAAATTCATTCCATGACATTAGATGGCTAAAACCAAAATAGTCCTATTTTGAAGTCGCAGTTGCGTTTGTCATATAGTTCTTTATGTTCTGACACCAGCAGCTCTACATTCATCTCGCCTCGCATCTTCCTGGTCTTATTTCTTCCCTGCAGTGTAGACACTACTTGGCGTACATCTTCTTCGCCGTTACGTATGTGTGCTCGGCAAGACCGTTTTGTGTTTGAGCGCCCCCAAGTTGTGTTTTACTGTAACTTCAGAAGCTCTAGACACCTGAGCAAAAGCGGCAATCTCATTGGTTGGATAGTTTTTGACGCGGTGCGTCAAACTAAAAAAATTAACCCGAGGCGTTTTTTTTTTAAATGACGCTTTTACGCGTGGCGTTTTTCGTGTCGGTGTGCACACTCACACTGGCGCCCTTTGTTTTGTCACAAGGCGTTAAACGTCAGCGAATATCGCGCACGCAAATTGGTCCCGGTGTGAAAAGGCCTTAACTCATCGGTTACCAACAAGGGGGTCACGGCCCACAAGGGGGCCTCAGCGAGCTCTATGGGAGGTCGCGTCATATTTTGAAAAGTTTTGAGCAATGAGCATTAAATAAAACTCCTTAATTTTTTTTCTATTCAAAATTTATATAATGAGCGAGTTCAACATCAATCCGTCAATCCGTGTTTTTGTCCTATCCTGAACCACTATGGTGCACCTACGTTGGGACTAATATTGGGACTCCCACTGCATTTAGAAAGCACTAGCATTCAATATTGTTCACTCAAGTCAGCATAGTTTCAGCTCAATTAGCACACCATTAATCAGAAAAAAACACTAATGCTACGTTCACACTGGATGCGAATAGCGCGTCAAATTCACGTCTAGTTTAACGCTTCACCACTTTGTGTTAATTCGCGCGTCAAGTGTGAAACTGACGCACATAAAATCAAAAGTTTGAAGCGAAATTTAAATCGAAACCCGTTGGCGGCCATCTTTGTTTATGTTGATGGAGCATTCATCGAGAGATTCACCGCACTGTATTTGCTCTGGAGAGCTAGAACAGCGGCGTGGGGATAATCGTCGCCGTATTTGTGTCCACCGGACCCTTCAGAGGCGAACCGTTTGGCGAGTTTCACCATTTGCTCGCTCCACAAGCTGCACCTAGATGATAGCCGCTGTCGGCGGTACTTCCACCTGTCCCACGCCCAGTTTGACCTGTTGTCCCGCATCAGAGCAAGGATCACCCTCGCCTTCATCCACCGAATCTGTCATTTATTTTGATGATAAATAGAGCCAGCCTCCAAAAGTTATTAACCTGTCCTGTGATTTTTTTCTCTCTCACATCCAGACACGAACTTATGCACATGTATGTTGGTTGTCTTTACATCATAATACTATTTCATATAATCTAGATATGGAATGAGTAACATTCAATACAAAATGAACATGTCTCGAATATTGAAATAAAGTTTTAAGTTATAAAATATTAGCTTTGTTGTGCATTAGAACCACACCAGGCATTTAGTCATATTAAAAAAATAATTTATCGAAGCATCCAGATCCTTCACCACGTGAGCATGCAGCTAGGCTCCTGATTGGTTAACGCGTCGCGAATCGACGCCAAAGTTCAGATTTTTCAGACGCGAATTCGCGTCAAATGTGTGAATGCACAAATAGCACTAAATAAATCATTCGCGCGTAACGCGCCAGATGCTCAATTTGCACCATTCGAATAAGGCGTATTCGCGTCTTCCGCGCCACGCCTCATTCGCACCGCAGGAATTTTTTACGCGCGTAACACGTCTTTGCATTGACTTAACATTAAAATCATTTGCGCCTGATGTGCTATTCGCGTCCGTTGTGAACGCACCATAAGAGTCACAATTTAACACACATCATTCAGAACTTTGAAGATGCCTATAAGTGCCAGAGTCAGTTCATCTGAGTTTTGGAACAATGGATCCATAAAGAAATGAAGGAAGAGGTCGAGGAGGGAGAGGAAGAGGACGTGGTGAAGGAGGAGGAACAGGAAATGGTGTAGGAGGAGGAACGGGAAATGGTAAAAGAGGAAGAGGAGGACGAGGTGGTAGAAGAGATGGAGGAGGAAGAGCAAAGAGACAAGCAGTCTCGGATGAAATTAGAGCCACTTTAGTTGATCATGTCTTTGACTATGAGGGAGGCTGGACAACGAGTACAGCCTAATTTGAGTCGTTTCAGGGAGAAAAACAGGAAAATAGGGGCGGATCAGGCATGCAAGAGGATTTTGCCCTCACGGCCTGGCTAGGGCTCATATAGCCTTTAATGTGGATGTGATTCTCTGGCCTGATTCAGACCAAAGACAGGACGCTGAGGCGTTTTTTTTTTTTGTGTGTGCGTGTTGTACTGTGTAGTACATGAATAAATAAAAATGTGCCAATGTATCCATTGGCTGTGTCTTTTGTTCATCATGTGAAAAGGTTTGTGAGGAGGGGAACCACAAGTAACATAACTTACCAGTTTTGGAAATGTTGTTTTGAATTTATTGCACCAGTGTGTTAGACTTTGTTGTAGAGTGTGTTATTTTGAGGGCTTGTGTGTCCTGTCTGAGGGCAAAGTTTGGTTTTTCAGCAAGAGTGAATGGTTTTTGTGTGTAGAGTTTCATTTTGAGACGTTATAGATTTGTGTTTACGGTGTTGAGAATAAGAGGCATAGTTTCAAGAGATGTGTTTAAGCAATCTAGACAAACTGTAATGATTTAAAATGTAATAGCTTTATGTGAGAATTAGATGTCTTAAATGTCTAAATGTAAAAATAAAGAGAGTTGAGATTGCACAATTAAATATCAACTGACATTTTTAAAATACATTTTTAATAATAAAAAAAGAAAAATATTGTCCAATATCTGATATGGTATCAATGTATCCCTATGCAAAAATTGCAATAATTAGCATATGATAATAATAATCAGAAAATTACGTATTAGGGTTGCACTAATGACATGAACAAAACACAAAGACATTGTTAATCGCAATCATTTATACAATGACCGTGACAGGCCTGGTTTGAATCGTAGATTTGTGTTTATTTTGCTGTGATTGCATATGATCAGATGCAGGACACTCACTGTAAGTGCTGAGCAGACTCTCAAACTGGGCCACCAGTCCGACGGCATGCAGCTGTCTGAGAAAACCCTTGTCCTCCAAACCCGCGTATAACCGCATGACAAATCCACACGCCAGTGCAGCCAGCTGTGAACACAACACACATATATCTTTACAAATGCCTTCTCAGAAACTTCGAATGGGGTGAGAAAATAATAATAAAAAGAATGGTATGAAAATTTCTACAGCTCTACACTGTCTAGATCTACAAAAAAAATTAAATTGGAATGATATCTGTTTTTATGTTGGCGTGACAAAAATAGTCACACTTGTGGTATTCGGGGTCCAAAATCATCATCAAAATCAGAAACAACGCAGAACACATAGACAGAAATGACAGAAATAAAGTGTCACACTTCCAACAATGCACAAAAATCATGCTCACCACACACACACACATAGAGGAATACATTTTTTGAAACTATAAAAATTGTTCTCTTATCATTTGTAAAATAAAATCATCCAAAATGCGGAACCACCACAAAAATAAATTTGTAACACTGACACATTGAAAATTTATGTACACACACACACACACTCAAATCTTAAGACTCCAACATTTCTCTTTGTAACGTTGTTCAGGTTTGATTCTAATCATAATGTAATATTTATTGAAAAACCTGTTTTTTTCTGTACAAAAATTGCTAAACGTTGACTAAAAGTATTTGATTTTTTTTATAATTGTGATTTTATAATATTTAGATATGAATCCAACTGAATCCAACTTGTGAAAAGATACCTTTGGTTAGTAAAATGCCAAATAGCATATAGTGATGCTCTATGGTCATGTACAGTAGTGGTTAAAGTGATTTTAATTTTTATTTTAAAACTGTCAAAAAATGGACAGAAATCTTACATTAAACCATGTAAAATGATCCATGTAATCCACATTAATGAAAATTTGAAATATGGGTCTTTTATAAATTGAATTTTACATAAAATGCATTTTTTTGGTTTTTTTTGGAAAAAAAGCCAATTAAATAAATATTTATTTATAGAAATTTAAAAGATATCATAAATCCTCCCAAAACTGCACAAATGTTGAGTAAAAACATTAATAAACCAAGTAAAATTATATTTATAAAAAAAAAAATACTATTCTGTTACAAAATTAAATGTTATTGTCTGGGGACCAATAGACCCCAAAGTGCGTCATTCCCAAACGAAGACCATCAAAGGGTTAATGGTGAGACTTTTGTTTTTGTAATCAGGCTCTCAAAAATGATATCAAAATTTGGATTAAGATTTATCGCCCGATTTCAAATATAAAGAAGTTATCGGAATCGGGCCAAATGTTCATATCCGTAGCCAAGCGTATCTGTTCTGATATGAGGGTTTGTAGTGTGTGTCACTCACTGCTTGGCTGAAGACAGTGTCCCGTCTCTGCTGTAGCTGGAGACCCTGCGCTGAACTGCCCGCCGCCTCCTGGAGCAGGACGAAGATCACCGAGCGCCTGGCTCTCTCCGCCACCGCCGACACACACTCCTTCAGCGACTGGACCACGACAGCGAGCTGATCCCGGACATCCACGGCTGTCAGCGGACGATCTGAGGAAAAACAGGAAACATTTGTGACTCAGTTTGCCAAATTGCCAGAAACCTGCCACTCCAGAAGAAAATTTAGATTAGATAAGATAGATAAGATATTTCAAGGAAAGCTCAGATATTGTCTCGTAAAAGGCATAGTGTCTTAACAGGACAATTGAACTCCATCAGGTCGAACAGGTAAACTCATTAAACTCAGTCATCCACTTTTACAGACTCATTGTGTGTATATTCACACTCTTGTAAATGTTTTTAAAGAGTTGTCAGAAGCTCAGTGACGGCGGCGCTGAAGTCATGTGACCGTGGTGTAGTTCCTTTACAGTCTACGTTTAGCTTTTGACGATTGCTGTAGTGACGGTTATCACGATGAACAAAACATTTAGGAATCATAAACTTTTGCTGGTCGTTTTCTACAATAATACAAAAGCCAATGGAAAACTCCTATTGTGTTTTAGTCGAGGGAACGCTCTATTGGGTAGAGGAACGGCAAGTTTTTACATGTTGATGAAGGTGGTTAAGACAAACATTGTTTTTTTTTTTTGTTTTTTTACATTTGAAATAATTTGCACTGATAAATCGTCCACAATAAGACTAGCAATGTGCAGTGTTCATAAGAGCAAATTCATGCAAAATTGACCCAAAAATCAGACCCAAAACATGGGAAATGGTTTTGCATTCTTCAGCACACACACACACACACACATTAAAGTTGACAAGCCAAGTTTATAGTCAGTCAGAATTTCATGCAGTAATAATTTCTTTCATCTTTGTGCAGTTTTATTTTTGGTTTTTGATGATGATGATGATGATGGCATGTCACTCAACCTGTCCATGCCGATTGTCTGTGACCGATAACACACACCAAAACATGGGAAGCATTTACATTTCCTTTTGATAAAAGTTGATAAGCCTGTTTATTTATGCATGAAAGACAGCATGGCTAGTTGCACTGAATTATTTGCACTTAGCAATGTGTTTTTCTTTGCTGGTTTTATATTTGGTAACTGATTCAATTGAATAATGAAGTTAAAGGCACACCGTGTAACTTTTAGCCAAAAAAGTTGACGCATATGAGTTATTTTAAATGATTCCTCAGGCCAACTTACAACATTTCACACTATCAATGCTCTGAGCGAGCGGGGCTGCCCTCTTGAAACACCGTCTATGTAAATTTGGAGAAGACGGACCGTCTTTGGCCAGGTCATGTGACCTGGAGAATGTACCGCTTTACGACCGTCACGTAACCACAGGCTCGGAAGAGTTAAGGAAAAGAAAACGAGAAACTGACCGCTTGAGAAAACCAGAGTCTCACTCGATCAGGCTTTCACTTAAAATAGGATAAGAATGAGCATCGAACAGAAATAACCCATAGCGCAGCTCTTAAAGGGGCCGTACCTTATTTCCACTTGTTATTTATGCCAGTACAAGTACTCCACATCGACTCTAGGGGTCGCTGTTTGACAAACATGGAATTCCTACATAGTGTACCTTTAAAGTTATAAAAGGTTTATGATCTACTACAGTTTTATAATCTACAATTAAATTAAAATAAAGGGAGAGTTTGTTTATGAGTTCTGTATAAAGGAATGAAAAACTATGAATAGCCCACTTGCTTTAAAGATTACAATGCAATTAAAAAGCCCACCGAATAAAGCAGATCAGAGCATTAGACTAAGCTGTGTTTAATGCTGGCAGGATACAAGAGTCTGTTATCTAAATTACACACGGAGAAAACGACATCTCTTATGAAATTCCCGAGAGCCATGAGACCGTATTAGATCAAGGGTTAGCAGATATGATCTCTGCATGAGCCACGGAGACCAAGTCTTGACTTCCTGGTCTGAAGTTGAACGTGGTCTGGGATATATACATCCCAGGCCATAAAAAAACAGCTGTTGCTTTGATTTTCGCTATTTGTTGCTCTGCCAGGAAAATAGCTCTAAACACAGGCCACCGCATCTCCAAACAAAACAGAAGTGCTGTTCCTGTTTTTGAATGATTCTCTTGAAATGATGATTCAATGACAATCACATGCTTAATTCCTGACTGAATCAATATTTTTGAATGAATCAGTTGAATTAATAATTCAGAAAATTACTAAGCCAGCCGCTTGTTTTTTTTTTCTTGACTGAATCGCCGTTTGAATGATTCAGTGACTCATTCATTAAGACAGTCACTTAATTCACTGCTGAATGAATTAAAGGGAAAATTCACCACAAATTAATATGCTGTCATCATTTACTCACATTTTTCACCCCAAACAAATGACTCAATGACTCACTCTTAAAGACAGTCACTTAATTTATGAATCAATTATTAAAAGAATCGGTTGAACAAATGACTCAATGACTCACTCATTAAGACAGTCATTTAATTTATGAATCAATTATTAAACGATTCAGGTGAACAAATTACTCAATGATTCACTCATAAAGAGAGTCACTTAATTTATTAATCAATTATTAAACGAATCGGTTGAGCAAATGACTCAATGACTCACTCATAAAGACAGTCACTTCATTTATGAATCAATTCTTAAACGAATCGGTTAAACAAATGACTCAATGACTCACTCATTAAGACAGTCACTTAATTTATTAATCAATTATTGAACGAGTCAGTTGAACAAATGACTCAATGACTCACTCATAAAGACAGTCAATAAATTTATGAATCAATTATTAAACGATTCAGGTGAACAAATTACTCAATGATTCACTCATAAAGAGAGTCACTTAATTTATTAATCAATTATTAAACGAATCGGTTGAGCAAATGACTCAATGACTCACTCATAAAGACAGTCACTTCATTTATGAATCAATTCTTAAACGAATCGGTTAAACAAATGACTCAATTACTCACTCATTAAGACAGTCACTTAAATTATGAATCAATTATTAAACGACTCAGTTGAACAAATGACTCAATGACTTACTCATGAAGACAGTCGCTTAATTTATGAATTAATTATTAAACGAATCGGTAGAACAAATGACTCAATGACTCACTCATTAAGACAGTCACTTAAATTATGAATCAATTATTAAACGACTCAGTTGAACAAATGACTCAATGACTTACTCATGAAGACAGTCGCTTAATTTATGAATTAATTATTAAACGAATCGGTAGAACAAATGACTCAATTACTCACTCATTAAGACAGTCACTTAAATTATGAATCAATTATAAAACGACTCAGTTGAACAAATGACTCAATGACTCATAAAGACATAAAGCCTTGTCTTTAAAACCAGGGAAAAGACTGTTAACGTCATATGCAGATGTCCTGTTGAAATTTCACATGCACTAGCTTGTTATTTTTGCCATTTATCATTCAGCTCTGAGAATCACAATAAATCATCTGACGTGTAGAGTTTATGAGAAACGCGCTTCAATCGGTCTCTTTAATCTACGGACTGGATCTACCGTGCTCCATTCATTTGTTTTGCAACAAGCTTCGTGTCTAAATGTGTTTTGCATTAGTCATCAGATTCTTGGCAGCATTATATACACAGTACCAAACTGCATGAGTGACTTTGCCCCATTTAACCCCATTCCCCAAATCAGAGTCATGTTCAGTAGTTTGGTTCCCACCCAGGGTGTATTCATCATGCTATTGATCTGAATTGTTGTTCAGTTAATTAATTGTGCATGACATGATACATCAAACCTAAACCGGTCCGGCCACATATCAACATGCCTTTGAATGAAGGACAATTCCTTGTGTTATGTGAAGTATTTACGCACTAACATTTATACTGCAATTACATGTTGAAATTATCTCACAAAATGTATCGGAAGATCTTGCAAACGAAAACTGTAGGAAAAAAACTACAGGAAACTGTAAAGGAAACTTTAAACCTGTAGGAAACTGCTGCAACGGAAATATCAGATGCTAACAAAGCACACAGTATTTCTAAAATGAAAATGAAATGGTTTACAATCATAAGGAATCAATAACCAATTGCTTTAACATGACCCGAAGGCTTAGTCTGATATATGACTCTTACTTAAAGATTGAGATGAATATGGAAAATTGTGTTAAATATGAGCTCAGAGTAACAAAAAGTGTCATTGCCAAGCAGAAAATGTATATTTATGTTGTGGATTGCAACAGGCAGAACCTCAGAGTGCAGTTTCAGATGGTGTCCAAGTGGTGGCAGCATCGGCTATGTTAAAAACTGAGTGTCTGACAGAAGATCAGTGGATGCTAATATTCATCTCTCAGCTGACAGACCTGACATGTGCTTGGGGGGAAAAAAAGACGCGGGTTGTTATTAAAAGCGTGAAAAAAAAAAGTTAAACCATTGAAAAGGGAAAAATCCTCACAGGGAATGTCTCGAGTCAAAATTGGTGACACGTGGAATATTATTGCTATTGAAATGATAAGGAACAGGATTATTTTTTAAAGCTTTTTTTGTGTGAAAAACAAAAGAAACAAAAATATCGACTTTATCCAACAATTAATTTCCTTCTCCGTGGGCCTCGAGACAGTTGTGTTGTACGTCAAACGCAAGCTCGCTATTGGCCGACGCTGGTCATGTGTGTGAGGAGTGTGACGTACGACACAGAAGCGCTGCGCGAGGCCCACAGAGAAGAAAATGCATAGTTGAATAAAGTTGTTAGCCGTTATACATCTTGAGGAATTGAAACTTGCCGGCCTCAAAAAGTTATTAAAGACATCGTTAAAATAGAGCGGCTCAATCTTAACTTTATCAAGCGACGAGACACTTTTTGTGTGCAAAAACAAACATAAATAACGACTTTATTTCAACTATTCACTTCCTTCTCTATGGGCCTCTAGTCAGTTAACGTAGTGTGATAGCGTAGAGCTACGTCACACGTAGGCTCACTATTGGCCGACGCTGGTCATGTGTGTGATGCGTGTGACGTACAACAACAGATCATACGCTGTTAAACTAGTTTAAGACTATAGGCGCAATGAAAAGGAAGTAAATAGTTGAAATAAAGTCGTTATTTATGTTTGTTTTGCGCACAAAAAGTGTCTCGTCGCTTGATAAAGTTAAGATTGAGCCACTGCAGTAACTTGGACTATTTTAACGATGTCTTTAATAACTTTTTGAGGCCGGCAAGTTTCAATCCCTCAAGAAGCCTATGGACTGGTATGGAGGAGTGATCCAGCTCTCAGATTTCATCAAAAATATCTTAATTTGTGTTCTGAAGATGGGCTGAATAACATGAGGGTGAGTAAATACTGACAAAATTTTCATTTTTGGGTGAACTATCCCTTTAAGAAATACGTTGACATATATTATATATATTGATATTAATTTGATCTTAAAAAAGAATGAACAGTGCTGGGTTTCCTGGCATTTTGGCAAAGATTCTCTGTTAGGGAAGGCCAACCTTTACTTCCCCGTAGATTAGCTTTTTCATTAGGGAAATATCTTCGCTTTGGGCCCCCGATTGGCTAAATCCGCCACTGGTTGGAACAACATGAGGTCGAGTCACTACTCTTGATTTTTGGGTGAACTATCCCTTTAAGCGTGTGATGGGTCTGGAGCTTCTGAGTGCTCGTTTGGGTGTGGTTGGACAGACGTACCGGGACTGTGTGAGGTGATGACGTCAGCGAGCGTGTGGCAGGGCACTGACTCCTGGTTGTTGTTGTCTTGCTCCTGTAATTTATCCACCGTGGCAATGACACAGTTCAAACTCTTCGCCACACTGGCCCAGACCCTGTCCTAGAAGAGTCAAAGCAAACATTAAGGGACCGACACTTACACCCCATAAACCAGCCGCGGTCACGATAAGCACTGATTGTGCAAGTGACCTCTGGAATGATAAATTAGGAGATTCACACCCATTTGAGGAACTAGTCAGTCACTACTAAATCTTTGCCGTGTGTACGTGCCCCATGAGCAGGCACAGACTTTCTTATTTTTTACAACTTTTGTGTTGATTATGGGGCGAAAGGCCCAAAATTAAAAACAGCTAGACATGAAAAATGTCTTTAACTAATTCCAAGGAAACTTACCAATCATTAATCATCATGTAACAATATAACTTCAATAAAAAGTATTTAAAAAATAATATAAAATAGAAAAATATTACAATAAATTATTTGCCATATTTCATTTTGAATATTTTGCACATTTATATATTATTAAATATAAATAAAATATTAAACGGAATTATTTTGTATAAATATTATATAGTATAATGAATTTGTATTATTTACACTGTTGATTGAAGCATACTTCTAAAGGTAATTTGATATATACATAAAAAAATGTTAATATTGAACAGCTTCGCTTTGAAAGGTTACTTCATTTGCATCATTTATTTGAAGGATTTTAAGGATCGTTTCACTCCTTTCCACAAGTGTCTTCAACAACCAAATGATGATATTTCTGTTCGCCTGTTTTCCGCTTCTGGGGCTTTATCACAGAAACTTTCTATCTTAAATGTTAAATTGAGATCTAGCCGAGTTCAACCTAACGTATAAAGATCTTTATTAAAATGGTTAAGAAGTCAGGGAGTTTCTGTTATGTTTCTCATTAAGAAACACTGTGGAAGCTGCACACACACACACACACACACCAAATGGACTGACATATTAAGTTACAAAGAGGACCAAAAGATATGACGCAGGAAGAAAACTAGCGCATTTAAGGTGTTAAAAGTAAAACATCTTCAAAAAATGTGTGTTTTCCATTTTATTGTGCCTTTCTATGGAGAGACAAAAAAAAATACTTTTCATAATGTTTAATTAAGCACTTGCTGGTGACTACTACTACGTTTGTGCAAATTTCGACATTTCTATTGGCTGATAGAAGTAAAATAATTAAAACACAAATGTAAAACGTTCTGAGAAAAACGACAACATCCTTCCTCTATGAATATTGGGGGAAGTCTAGCTAGAACTAACTTCAGGCTTCACTCTCCCTCTTGTGAGTGCAGCTCAAGGGCACACAAGTTATTTTGGCATTGATTAGAGATGCTTGTCTTATCTCGGCCTCTAATCCTCTCCTGTTAGCCATGGTTATGACACACACACACACATGCACACACTCACACAAAGGCAATTACAGGAACCAGACACCACAGTTTAACAGCAGCATTGACTAAACAAACAGAACGTGAGCCTCTTAAGGTTGTAGTTTGCGGTTCATCCTTCAGTTACTGTGGTAAAGGTTTCTATCAAGCGAGCCGCACAAGCCCTGAAAAGTGAAGCCAAAACGTCTCGATCGCCCCCCGGTGGCCGGTCCTAGTATAGGTCAAAAACTCCGCCTCCCCATGTTATTCAAGGCATGTGAGACCAACTAAACAACTGGGGTGGTGATGGCGCAGTGGATAAGACACATGCCTTTGGTGTGAGAGACCTGGGTCCGAATCCACTGTGAGACACTAATGTGACCCTGAGCAAGACACTTAACCCCTAGTTGATCCAGAGGCGTGCAAACTCTGACGTATATAGCAACTGTAAGTCGCTTTGGATAAAAGTGTCAGCTAAATGAATAAATGTAATGTAATGTAAACAATTAAATTATACTTCAAATATCTAGCTAGACCAGAATCAAAACAACAGGCACGTCGCATACACTTGTTTGGATCTGCGAGCCGGCCAAATAGTAGGCTAACGTTACATTTTGAGTGGATGAAGAGCGCGAGACGCTGAAATGGACACCAATAAGATTATGAATGGAAAGTTTACTTTTAAAAAGTTGCCAAATGGTTCCATTGACAAGACCAAAGTGATCTGTGTGTTTGTCGTAATGTGATTAATCGCGAATTAACTGTCATTAATGCGATTAATCACGAGTTAGCTGTGTCATTAATGCGATTAATCGTGAGATAAATGTGTCATTGAATGTGATTAATCGCGAGTTAGCTGTGTCATTAATGTGATTAATCGCGAGTTAGTTGTGTCAATGCGATTAATCGCGAATTAAAAGTGTCATTGATGCGATTAATCGTGAGTTAGTGTCATTAATGTGATTAAATTGCGAGCAAGTTGTGCCATTAATGTGATTAATCGTGGGCTAGCTGTGTCATTAATGTGATTAATCGCGAGTTAGCTGTGTCATTAATGTGATTAATCACGAGTTAGCTGTGTCATTAATGTGATTAATCACGAGTTAGCTGTCAATGCAATTAATCGGGAGTTAAATGTGTCATTGATGCGATTAATCGTGAGTTAGCTGTGTCATTAATGTGATTAATTGCGAGTTAGATGTGCCATTAATGTGATTAATTGCGAGTTAGCTCTCAATGCAATTAATCGTGAGTTAAATGTGTCATTGATGTGATTAATCGTGAGTTATCTGTCATCAATGTGATTAATCGCGAGCTAGCTGTGCCATTAATGTGATTAATCGCGAGCTAGCCGTGTCAATGCGATTAATCGTGAGTTAAATGTGTCATTGATGAGATTAATTGTGAGTTAGCTGTGTCATTAACGTGATTAATTGCGAGTTAAATGTGTCATTGATGCGATTAATCACGAGTTAGCTGTGTCAATGCGATTAATCGTGAGTTAACTGTGTCATTAATGCGATTAATCGCGATTCAATATTTTAATTGTTTGACAGCACTAATTCATATATAAAACATTTATATATAAATGATGTATAAATATATATAGAAGCAAATATTTCTAGAATATATACATGCTAGTGTGTGTATTTATATATACAAAAGACTTATACACAGTGCACACATGGATGCGATTAATCGCGCACTAATTAAAAGTTTTAATCACCTGACAGCACTAATCTCTACATTTCTGTCAGGACCACTATCATCAAATATGATAGGCAATTAGCTGCTATTACATAACAACACTTGCCCATTCCTCCTCGTCGTACTCTTTGTGATGCGGGATGGAGTCGGAGCGGACGGGAGACGCTTTGCTTTCCTTCTGGGGTGTTTGGGAGCCGTTAACATTATTGCAGACGGTGTGGGACTCCTCGGTGACGCCGGGGGGCGAGTCGGCCTTGTGTGGGCTGGACGGGGTCGAAGTCGGACTTTTGCAGACGTATCCGGGACTTGCGGCATGCAACGCTAAGAGGGCGCTCTTCACCAGCTCGTCTTTCAGAGCGTGAACAAACTGATCCGTCTGCAGAGAGAGAGAGAGAGAGAGAGAGAGGGAGGTGTTTTTTATAGCATTTATATAACCAACATTTCATTAAAGTACGGCGGAGAATGAGAGTGTGTGACAAAGATTAAAGGGAGGGGGATGAGAAGCATATCAGAAAACTAATAAGCAGACAAGAGCAAACAGCGATGGCTCAGTGGATAGAAAGAGAACAGTGAAGTATGAAGATGCAGAAGAATTAAAGAGACACACAAAGAGGCGCTGGTTCTTCTGACACAAGGTCTCGGCACAACAACAACATATTATTCAATTAATCTTCTGAAGCGCTGGGATATTGAAAAGATCGCAGGAAGAACAGAAAGACACGGACCGACCTCATTCATATTCGTACGCACTTGTACATGTGTTTATTTGTGCATGTTTGGAGAAACACATCAGAGTACACAACCAGTCCAAAAGTCTGATTTCACATTGAAAATCTCGTGGAGAAACTTTATCTGAGAAAGAACTTTTTAACGTCAAAGTAATAAAAGTCTGTGAAAATCTATTTGTGACTCAATTTCGTTATCAAAGGATTGCAATGTTAAACTGTTTCACTCATTTGTTTGTGTGTTCAAGCTGATGTCAAATTAGGAAAATGAACTGCATTAGATAATCGTCTTAAACATTCATAATCGGTTTAATTAATTACAATAAAATCAACTAATTATTCTACGAACCTGAAAAGTTTTGGACATCTAAAGAATTCAAGTGCTCCCATTTTAGCTGCTATTAGTATTAATTAAAAAAATATATACATTACAGTACAAACTCTACAAATGTGTATGTGTAAATACGATTTAAATACGATTTTGCCAGTTTTATTTTATAATTACTATGCACGCTGCTTTAACCCTCTGGGGTTGTTCGGCCTAAATGGACCCGAAGAATTTAAATAAAAAATTTATTTTAATCACAGCTGCCTCGGAATGGTCCGATATTTGGTGACTTTGTTGGTATTTGGTATTTGGACACACACAAAAATTGGGGACAGGATGTGAGTAGTCTAAGTGGTTGTAAAAAAAATAGTCACACTTGGGGTGTGCATGGAAAATGAATGGGAAATTGGCAAAAATGTGAAAATACTGAGTTTTTGTGTGCGTACAATCTACAAATCAGCCACGATCTTGAAAAAAAGCACACAACAGTGAAGGGGTGAATCTATAAAACATCAAGACACATCCACACACACACACAAACACACTTTTACACACGAACACACCAAAAAATTCAGATTATACATGTGTTTTGCATTTTTAAAATGCTCAGTTTGTCCACCAGATGGCATCCATCTCATTTCAAAAATTGCTTTTATGAGGTCTAGGCTTGAATCTAAAATGAAATACAGCTTTAAAAAAAAAAAAAAAAATCTATTATGTTCAATGTGGGGGGGGAAATTTGTCATAATTATTGCATTAATACTAATTATACATTTTTTTTATTTTTGAAATTTTCTCAAAACACCAAAAAAGAAAATCCAAAAATATTATAAAAAACGAGTAAAAAAAAAAAATGTTGAAAAAAAAAAGATTTTTTTTTTTAAAAATATGAATCCCGCCATTTGGGTCCATTTGGACCCGAACATTCCGAGTGTGACTCTGAAACGAACAACCCCAGAGGGTTAATAACTTCATTTATGACAAAGTAATGTTTGTCACACTAGCCCTTTCTGACAGATTCATTTTTCCTGACTCCACCCCACTATATGAGTTTGAATAGCTGTGCATTGATTAAGAAAAGAACCCAGTTAGGCCTCGCTTATCTTTGCAAATGTAATTTTCCAGCCGTCACCGGTACGGTTTACTCAGTGTCCTCATATTTCAGGGGCAATTGTGCAGATGCTGGATGGGACATTTGCACATCACAAAATCAACGTCCCTGTGACCTTTTCGCCACCACACCAATCATTATTTTAGACGTGATCACATCCCACAATTCATCAAATTCTCCAGCAATCTGTTTGTATTCTCACCGGTCTGAAACTGCGGTATGTTTTAAGGGTTATTTTTAAACTCAATGGCATTTTAACAAGCCCGCTCTTCTTCACGTTCTCCACACTTTGAGTTGCTGGCAGCGAGGAGGCATTCCTGCAGGACAGTTCTTCATTGTCAGTGTGTGAGTGACGCCTCATCACACGTCAGGATCGGAAGCTTGTCATTACCAAAGCACACATTCTTGAGAACAGGAATTTGGTGCAAGCGTTGACTCTCAGACGTGCGCAACAGGAGGTGAAGAGACTTCAATAGTTTGCAAAGTTTGCCCTCTCCCTGCCACACTTTCTGGGAGAAAATAAACATGAAACCTGTTTTACTTTTGATTTATTTTCATTTAAATGCACCAGTTTAACAGTTAACTACTATATGCACTTATATATTGATATATTGAATTTAAAAAAACTAAAATTAAATCAAGAAAACCTTAAAATTAAAAATGAAGTATTTTGAAACAATGCAAATGTTGTTTGGTCAAAATAATAGTATATAATAAAACAAACATAATAAAATTGAAATGTGAAAATACAATACAATAAAATAAATTACAATAAAATAAAATTTTGAATCAACTTCTTTACAATTGCTGTTTGGTCAAAATAATACATAATAAAACAAAACTGATAACATAAAACAAAACATAAAATAATGGTTAATGGGATAGCTATAATAAATAAATTATATAACTTAAATATAAAACAAATATTTTTAATGAACTTAAATTACAATTGGCGTTTGGTCAAAATAATAAATATTTAAAAAAAAAATAAAAAAAATCCAAATAAATAAATTGCTGTTTTTAGCTCTAATAAATGGATAGCTCTAATAAATAAATAAATAAATAACTTAAAAATAAAACAAATATTTTTAATGAACTTAAATTACAATTGGCGTTTGGTCAAAATAATAAATATATAAAATAATATATATATATATATATATATATATATATATATATATATAAAATAATTTTTAACTTAATTAGATACAATTGTTGTTTGGTCAAAACACTAAATAATGAAAAATTTATAAATAAAATAAATAAACTGCTGTTTGGTAGAAGAAAAATTACAAAATTATATTTAGTATAAGCTTCATTACAATTGCTGTTTGTTAATCAACAGCTCTAAAGAAATAAATCAATTATCTGGTTCTTTAATAATATATATTTAAAAACCAATTAGTTACAATTGATGTTTTGTAAATGTGATGGCTCAACACAAATAAACACATAAATGATTAGTTGTTTGTAAATTTTGGAATGGAATAGAATAAATAAAAAGGTAATAAAATGAAATAATTGTCATCGCCCTAGACTGTGTGTAGAGATCTAATGCAACATCAACACACACACACACACACACACACAGGCTCACGGTTGGAGATTTCAATCAGCTTGAGCGTCTGATCACGCGGGACGTCACACTTTAATCAGGAGGTGAAGAGAGGCGGCCGAGAGAAGGAAGAAATGAAGGCGGCTGATTGCACACACTCCTCAGTGGCAGAAACAATCCCTGAGTCCCAGACCACCAGATGTAATCCATTAATTACAAACATAAAACACCATCGCCTCCAAAGCTGATCCTCGGCCTGGTGCTTCTGTAGGGTTTGGCAGAGGGGAATGTGACAGACCGATGGCCGCATGTGTCAATGTTTGCAGACTGACCCGTTTAGTGAGCATACAATTTGATTTAATTTACAAGCCACCATGGTTTTTGTTCATTGTACCACGGTTATGCCATATTTCTATGCCTTACATGATAGTAATACCATTAAAAGAACTATTATATGTGAGTATGTATCAAAGCAACATGGCATTACCCTCTGATACAATTCCTGTACCAATTGAGTGTTATTCCCAAGCAGAAACCCTAGACGTGATTTCTGTCAGTCGATCGGCAGCGGCTTCACGATGTGTGACAGTAATGTATTTCATTAGAAAAGATATTTGCCCTTAAAGCATGAACATTTGCAGGACTATTAATAGACGCACAATCATCCGCACAATTCACTCATTTTACATTTATGCTCCCAGGCCACTGTCTTGAAGATTAATACTTTATTTAAATTATTTACTTTTGCTTTAAAACTTTATGTAATTCCAAATTGACTTGTGTATTCGAGGACACTGGCTGAAATAGTCCTTTGTATAAAGATTTTTCAAAGGTTTTTTTTTTATGAGTCATAGTAATCCCATAATGAATCTTTCCAGTTATTATCGTAAAGAGAAAAAAAAAAGCGGTGAAAAAAAAATTAAATATGTTATTATATAAATTTATTTTTAATGAGAATGCTTCTTTGGTTTTGGTTTCAGTTTTAATTAACTATAACACACACACACACACACACACAGTAAAAAAACAGCAATATTGTGAAATATTATTGCAATTCAAACTATGTTCAAATGTAATTTATTCCAAAGCTGAATTTTCAGCATCATTACTCCAGTCTTCAGTGTCACATGACCCTTCAGAAATCACTGTAATATGCTAATACTTTCCTGATTATTGTCAATGATGAAAACAGGTTATGCTGCTTTATATTTCTGTAGAAAACCATGAACAGCATTTATCTGAAACATCCTCATTCTGAACGTCTGCACTCTCAGAAAAAAAGGTACAAAAGCTGTAACTGGGGCTGTACCTTTTCAAAAGGTACACGTTTTTACCCAAAGGCTGCATATTGGTACCTTAGTGGTACATATTAGCAACTAAAATGTACATATTAGGACCAAACATGAACATATTAGCTCTTCAAATGTACATGTTAACACTTAAAATGTACATATTAGCACCTCAAATTTACATATTATCACCTAAAACATGCATATTAACACCTAAAATGTACATATTAGCAACTAAAATGTACATATTAACACCTAAAATGTACATATTAACACCTAAAATGTACATATTAACACCTAAAATGTACATATTAGCACCTAAAATGTACATATTAGCAACTAAAATTTACATATTAACACCTAAAATGTACAAATTAACACCTACAATGTGCATATTAACACCTAAAATGTACATATTAACACCTACAATGTGCATATTAACACCTAAAATGTACATATTAACACCTAAAATGTACACGTTAGCAACTAAAATGTACATATTAACACCTAAAATGTACATATTAACACCTAAAATGTACATATTAACACCTAAAATGTACATATTAACACCTAAATGTACATATTAGGACCTAAAATGTACATATTAACACCTAAATATACAGATTAACTCCTAAAATGTGCATATTAACCGCTAAAATGTACATATTAGCACCTGAAATGTACATATTAACACCTAAAATGTACATATTAACACCTAAAATGTGCATATTAACACCTAAAATGTACATATTAGCACCTAAAATGTATATATTAGCACCTAAAATGTGCATATTAGCACCTAAAATGTACATATTAGCACCTAAAATGTACATATTAGCACCTAAAAAGGATTACCTTTTGAAAAGGTACAGCCCCAGTGACAGCTTTTGTACCTTTTTTTCTGAGAGTGTGTGCCGTCACGTAGGACCGGTTTAACTGTGTGAGGAAGCTCACCTTCTCCTCCAGGCTCTTCAGGACGTCCCGCAGAGCTTCAGTGGAGCGGTGCTGGGCCTGGAGCAGCTGGTCGGCCAGCGCAGAGATGAGCGGCTGGAGCTGAGACACCACACTCAGGATCTCACGCGCACGGGCCGTCTGATCCGGGGGATAGTAGATGCACTGATACGCTGTGCTGTGGCTGGAGGACATCGAGAGAGAGACTCAATTAATAAATGCAAAAATGTGCATTTACACAGAATGTTTACTGCTTCTCTGAAGCGGCATAAATGCATTTACACAGGAGTTAGAATAATGGGAAAAAACGTTTTCCTCCTAAAATGTATAAAAAAAAAATGAAATAATAGCCTAAACAATGAAATAAATATACGCAATTTTAAATTAATTTAGTTTATAAATCGTTTTATTCTATTTCTTAAAGGGATTGTTGGGATTGCTCAACAATAAATGAGTAAAATGCAGCTTTATGTGCTGTTTGGGTTTATTAAACTATTGTATGGTGTGAACTATGTACTGTTTTTCTTTTATTTGCTGTCTTCCATTTTCTGAAAAATCTAGAAACAGGGGCTCAGCAGCTGGTCTAAAACAGGATGGATTGAAGAAAAAAATATATGGGAGCGGTACAGGAGCGGGAGTCAGTTTAAACAGGAGTGGGATGGGATGGGATTATTTTTTAAACTTTAAACTGGGAGTGGGACAGGACAAGATTTCTTTCTATGGGAGTGGGACGGGACAGGAGTGAAAATCCACTCCCGTGTCATCCTCTACTCTGGACAACAAAATCCTCAGATGACACAAAATGATGATGATTTTTACATCATCGGAGGATTTTTTCCAGACAAAAAATACATAAATCTCTCGTCTCAGGGGGATATGAGGGTGGAAAACACGGTAATTTGAAGTTTCCTACTAATACAAAGCTTAATGCTAAATCCTGAAGTATCCCTTTAATAGGAATTGTTCCAGCTGGTGAGTTAAATCACCGCTGGATTAATCGAGGTTGAATGGGGTTTTTTTGTATCCAGAAGTCCTCTGGGGTTTGGAGAAGGCACAACAACTGAACAATAATGATAGCGTTGGCGTTTCTGGAAGAACAGCAAATGTCAAAGCCTTGTGGCGGGCGGTGTTGATATTGTGAACCAATGGATGGGAAACACTGTAGTATAATTTGACAGCTATCAATCATAGTTTAACCTATCCATCTTAGTAACACATACAGCTGTGCACAGTGAAAAGCATTCCCAGCGATGTTAAAGCCACATACACTGGTATTGTGGTATATTAAAAATTCATATCATAACAAAAACAAACACTGGTATTCGCTATTACCCGTTATACCGCCCAAGAGTGTCATCTTGCTCATCATCAAGGTGTGATTACAGCACTGTGGCATCAATGAAGCAATCAGATCGGGAAACATATCTAATAAACCCAGACGAGCCAATCACAATCCCTGCGTGAATACTGAACATCTCAGCTCGGAGGACACTGGTGGGCAATAGAAACGGCTCTTATAAAGGGAATACATCATGCATTTTTAGCTGTTCATTTCCCCCCTGATGGCCACTTACACAGTTTGTCGCCCAAAAAAGTCATAATCTACTTTTTCATGACGCATTACCCTCGCTCTGACCCTCGGGATGTTTATATACACGACCTCTGTCTGCAAATATGGCGATGCGTCTCACAATGGACTGAAAGATGCCAAACATTAATTCAGGCCACCATTTAGAGAATGAATATGTCTTCAAATCATTTCCTAGATCATAACAATCACTAAACAGCATGTGAAAAAAAGAAAAATATATATAATTTAAATAATAAATTAACTATTATGTTTATTTTGTATATTCCTATGTATCACATCATATTATTTATATATTATATTAAATATAATTATTTATTATTATTTACACTTTTGATACTGTACATACAGGCAATATTTTATATATATATATATATATATATAATTGAACTATTTTTAATTTTATAGTTATAGTACAAGTTTATATTTATATGTATTATATCATTTATATATCGTATTACACATGGTTAATTTTTATTATTTACACTGATAAATGACAGATGAAGGTACTATTAATATATGTATATATATTATATTATATAATACATGTATATAATATGTATATATATAAAAATATTTATTGTATTATATATATATATATATATATATATATGAAGAGTTCAGATGCAAAAGCCTCTAAATGCCATTTGAAAGTTTCTTCTTTAATGATGATTTTTATCAAACTTGTATATTTAAGTTCAGTAATTTCACTTAAATAACAATTAATTGGTAATCTTCATTGCCATTTAAGTGAAATTACTGAACTTAAATATACAAGTTTGATAAAAATCATCATTAAAGAAGAAAATTTCAAATGGCATTTAGAGGCTTTTGCATCTGAACTCTTCATATATATATATATATATATATATATATACTAATATTATGGATGAAAAACAGTAGGTAGATTTTTATTTTTTTTTGCATTTATAAGAAATTTGATATTAGATTAATTAAACGTGTTTAATAGCACTAATTCGCCATTATAAGCGTAAATCCCTGAACTATTGTGACATTCACAGACCATGTTTCAATTATAATCACACTTTTATGATAATTAAATTCAACCGTACAAAGGGCGCAAATGACTTTACTGTTATTAGTCCCATCTGGAATTCATTTATAATAAATTTGCCATTACAAATATTGCTCCAATTACTCATAAATGAGAGCCCTGCCATGTGTATTGAAGTCATAAATGTGGCCACTGAACAAATGCATGACGATAAGTGCTTGAATGTAAGATAAGGCGTTAAACATAACGACAAAGTCATGAGTATCCCGTTCAAGTCCGGTATTAGAGGCAGTCGTGAGATTTATTAAGATGGCGTCAAACACAGAACGATGAGGTGATGATGAGGAGAACCTGCGGGCGTGACACGTAACATGTTAGCTGGACACCGTCCGTTTGTAAGCTTGTTTGTGATGCTGGAGTTAGTGTCCTGATCCTAGATCAGCGTATCCGGGCGAGACTTCAGATACAGTAATTGGCTCTCGGGAGGATCGCTAACCATCGCTAACCACTGCTATAAGCAAAATAAAAGGCCTTTCGTAAAAAGAGGAGACGCACACCAGGGGACAGTGAAACATATGAGAGAACATCAATAACACAAGCCACCGGACTCATTTAGCAGGTCTAAAGTGACACAACACAGCAGGGAATACACTCCAAAGTCAAACCGATGGTTAATGTCAGTGTAGGGGAGCAAAAAGCAGTGACTAACTTAAATATATTTTCATTTTTCCAATATTTTTAGCATTATAGATTGACAAAACTACTGCTGGTAAGGGCCAGTTCATTTAAAAAAAAACGATTAACTTGATTCATCACTGATCGTATTCACATCTGTTTTATAGAAATAATTTCATTTCTGATTTGAGTCACTGTTGCTTAGTGTTCATTTAGGTTCGTTTCTTCCGGCCGCTCATTTTTATGAACTGGTTTTAAAAAGTTTTGAAGATTCATTTGATTCATTACTCAAATTGGTTCATTTAGACAACTCATTTTAGTGAGTTGCTTCAAAAACAGATTGAATGATTCCTTTGAGTTATTATCACTCAATAGTGTTTTTTAGCAATCCATTTCAATCGACTGGTTAAAAATTTTTATTTACTGAATCATTCCTCCGATAGTGTTCATTTTGTTTTAACCAAATCGATTCATTCAGAAAGTTTCAATGAAATTGTTCAGATTCAGTTTTTTTTTATATTCACTGCTTAGAAAAGTCAATTTGAGTTTTAGCGATTCAATTCATTCAGACACTTCATTTCGATTGACGCATTTAAAAAATAGACCATTTGAGCCAGTAGCTACTCAATAGTGTTCACAAAATTTAATTCCAACCAGTTTGATTTTTAATCAAGACAGATAATAGATTCATCAATTATTTTGAGGTATCACTCAAAAGTGTTTTGATTTGAAAAGTCCATTTGATTTAGTGATTCAGTTCATTGCAATTTAATTTTGCAAAGATTCATTTGAGTCACAGTATTACATATTAAATTTTTGGTGGCACAATAAACATTTCTGTATTTACAAAGCATAATCATAAAAAAAAACTACTTCCCATTTTTTTGTGACATTAGCTATACTTTTAATGTACAATAAGTGAACAACTCTGAGACTGATGAAACAAAACCATTCTCAAATCGATTAATGGCAGTGTCCTATAAATCAAGCGAATGTAAGACAGAAAGAGTGTGACGTTTCATCACAACTCTTATTAGGATGTGATTCACAGGAAGCGGCAGGAACATGATGCCATCTGAGACCCGGCACGATGGCTAATGACTTGTTGGCCGAACACCTCAGGAGAGCCAGACCCGATCTAGCCTGAAGAGGTTCTTTATAAACCTAGCTTCACGAAAACAGCATTTGTGCCGCAGCCGACTCATTCATCACAAGCCCTCCAGCTTCTCCCAATCTCAAAGCCCAGACCCAATCTGCAGATGTGTTTTTGCATTTTCATTCACAAGTGGGCGAAGTAGATGGCAAATGAGGCAGGCACCATACTCTAATATCATTGGGAGATAGTCTGATTAGCATTGTAGCCACATTCGTTTTAGCATGCCAGTTCATTTAAATTAAATGACCGCAGCAATTCAATTTTAAGTGTTAAAAATAGCAGTATTTTTTTTAATGGTCTCACGTCGTTTAGTTTTATTAGTTACATTACATTTGATGTCTTTTTAAGGGTATTGATATCCTTATTGTGTTTGTGCCAGATACAGATGCTCTTTTTAACAATGTCACCCTTCGCCAGGAGTTTGATTGACAGGCGATCTGACCAATCATAATCCACCATCTGCAGAATCCGCCATTTTGTCCGACCTAGCGTTCAAGAGAGTTGGTAGGTGGAGTTGAACTTGAAAAACGGTGTGTACTGACGAAACAACATTCCTTCTGATGCTCATTCATGTTTATTTGATGCTATAAATAAAAGAAAGAGATGATTGGAGGGCATGGTTTAGCTTTAGTTTAGCTTTAGCATAGTTACCTTTATCTATGCATATATTGATTCCAACTATTTTTTCTAATTTGAACCACTTTTAATAACCAGTAGCCTCATACCTTGGGCAGCTACAGAGTCAAAACA